TGTTCTGCACAGGCACATGTATATGTATAGGCCTCGTTCTACCAGGTACAAGTGGGCCTCAGGCTCCCACATAATTTCACAATGCCTTGCTTCAAAAAGATATTATCATCCTAATAGTTTAACACATATCAAGCATGCATATAGATTTAATAAAATGTAGATTGTAAGGCGAAGATAAGTTATAAAATATATCCCCACAATAGTGGCTTAGAATTTTTTTCAAATGATTAACCAGTTAGGATGAATTTATAAGAGCTGCATTGGATATTTCAAAGGAATGAACAAAAAGTCATGGCTTGGTACAAAAGTAATGGAGGTCGGAATATAAAAGCATTTGTGATGCATATGAGAGATAAAAAATAGACACATAATGGAACTCATCGTCACCTTTTTCATCGATGCACACTTGGCCGTCTCTGTAAACCCAATCATCTTATGAGTCGTGACAATCTTCAGGAAAGGGAAACCGGAGCGGCGGGCGATCTCTACGGCCAAAGCAGTCTTCCCGGCCTTGGGCGCACCTTCGAGAAGAACTGTGAGCGGTCGACCCAAGTTGACATCAGCCTCACTGACAGCACGAAAAGCCAAATGGCCCATGTCTAGTGCAGCTGAGACACTCTCACTCCAAGTGACGATTCCACGCGGAATGTAAGCAGACAGCTCTTCTTCGGCAGTACCGAACATCTGACATAAGAAGCAAATAATTGAAACGAAAGGATGAAAGATTAGAAAAGCAAGATGCTGACAATAACAATCGTAATTATTAAAGCGATTAATTAAAAATATTTTCAAATGAAATACGAATAACCAATGTAAGTAGCCCAGATATTTTAAATTTATCGGCAATATTTATGAGCAAATATTTGGACTATCTATAGGCTCTCCACTTTTGGTAAATATATAAATGGACAAATTGGAGATGGAATCTGAGAAGTCGCTGCTGCAACCAAGAATGCTCACGCGATACTTTGAGGTCTACTTTGCGCTTTGACCTCATGGTAAGGAAAATTTATAAGAATCCCTAAACTTAATGAACCAACATGATGTAAGAAGCAAATTTACAATGGAGTTAAAGGAGGATAAACAGAGGAGAGTATATAACGGCATGAGCAGTAAAAAGAAGATAACTAGATCAAGAAATTATTACTAGCATAAAGAAAAGCAATCGCAAGGAAGAGGATATTGTGGGATAATCGGAAATCATGAAACGTCTGGAGTAAGCTTAAAGCTACAATATTTGGAGTTTAGAGATTGGGAAATAGGAAAGTCATAGGATTGACATGATGGATAAAAGCTCGGGAGGCGTGGCAGCGACCAGAGAGACAGACGTGGTCCGTGAAGAAAAGTGATACGCAAATTTGCAGAGTCAAGTTAGTTTCTCATCCACCTGGAAAATCAAGACTTTTGGGGAATTTTTAGTGAATAAACTTGCTAAGGCTTGAGGTGGAGTATACAAATAACGCTTCTAGTAACACGGATGTGGAGATAGAGTGAAATTAATGAACCAAGAAGATATGAGACAGATCTTATGAGGCAAGAGAGAGACTGGAGTGGAATGCAGACTAGAAGAGCTAAATGAAACGACATTTTCAGCATACTGGCTTGGGAAGTTAAGGAAACCAGCGAGTAGTATGAATACGCCTCAATAAATCCACTGAAAAGGACACACTGGGAATAGATTGAAATAGGTAAATTAGATATTGTGTTTGTAAAGGATAGATGTATGCATCACAACAAATTAGCAGTTAAAGAAATAGAGTTAATACACCTCATATATATGATCTACTGGTAGTTTCGACCCTCTACTTGTAAAAGAAAGAGTAAGTAATATAGAAATGGGTTGACTTTGTCTCTTTGACGAGTTCGTAGCTTGGTGCGGCGAATAGCAAAACTCACTGATGATGCCGACTACGATGCTGCTGAAACGTTTGAGAATGTACCAAGTCGACTGTTGGATT